ATGTCCTCCAAGAAATCGGAGGCATAACTAGGGTCCTAATTTCTTTGCCGAAGCCCTAGAAACCAAACAACAGTTTCGTGGCGCTGCTCTTCTGGGCCTCCGGAAAGCCCTGGGACGTGCAGGGGCCGCGCCGCCAGAGTTCAGAGACCTCCTTAGGCGCCAATTTAGGTTTAGGGTTGACAAATGCTTGGAGGGCTGAAAAGTTCTAGGCCTGAAGGTCTAAGCAGGGCATACTGTAGGAGGTTTCAGCGGGAGCCTAGAGGCTTGTAGAGGGCTCACAGCTCATCTGGAGCTAACGGGCTTCTAAAGCTTAACGACTTGGTTTCAGGCTTTTAGACTGTGGGTTTTAGGGCTTGCAGGGTTTTAAGAGGTTGTAGGGTTGAGAACCTGTAGGTTGTCTAGAGCTCATGGCTTAAGGTCCTCTAGGGCTTGTAGGCTCTTGTTCGAAGGCGAATATAAGGTTCCCAATGACGTGGCGTAACCGCCGGACACGCAACTAAGCGCCCCCGGTCGACTCGCTTTAGGATAAGTGGGTTTAGGGTTTAGGGCGTGCTTGTCGTTTCGCGTTGGAGGTTGAGGGTTTAGGGTTTAAGACAGAAAGTGTGGCTTCTGGTATAAGATGGCTTAGGGTATCTTTTTAGGGTATCTCAGGCCATAAACTACGGCTTCGGTTCATAGGGCTTTGGGTCTACCTAGGAGTAGCCTTAAACCGCGCTTAACGAAGGGGAATGTACCTTAGTTCTTGGGTGTACTTGCCCTGTTAAAGGAGCAAGGTTATTTCAGATAGGGCTTGGGGTGACCCTTATGTAACCCTCAACCTCAAACCCCCGGACTACTATGTCCTTATAAGGGTTCTGGTGGCCAAAAGAATAGGGTTTAGGGTTTAAGGCGGGCTTATGCCCTCGAGGCCCTCAACTTCAACCTGACCCAAGCGTGGCGCAAAGATTACCATTGCCACGCGCCCAGCGCGCAGGGTGTCAGCGGCGCCGCGCAGGACACAGGGCTCCTGAAGAGGGGCTGCAAAATGGATTTATGAGACCCTACAAACAGGGTGTGGTCTCGGGTTTAGGGTTAGGGTCTAGCTCCAAACCCTGCAGTCCTACAAAGCAAACAGGCTTGGCAAGGCCGTACCCCTTTGCTGAAACCAGCTTGCAACGCCACGCTGGTACAGCAGCTGTCCGCGAACACTGCACTCTTGCCCCAAAACCAGGGTGGGGCCCCCTAGTTATAAGTAGAGTTATAAGGGCCCTAAATTGGGTTATAAGGACCCTAAGTTAGGTTATAAGTCCCTTAACTACAGTTAGTATAGTAAGGGGGCCCCACCCTGTAACCCTGTAAGCAGCCCTAAACCCGGAACCCTCCCATAACCCTAGACCCTGACGCCCATAACCCTTTGGAAGGGCAAGATCTCCAAACCAGACCCCACAAGAACCCAGAACCCCATAACCTTATAACCCTAAACCCTTTCAACCCTAAACCCTAAACCCTAAACCCTAAACCCCAAACCCCAAACCCTATCCCGTCCCCGGATCCTGGCCGTCCACGTCCACCTGCGCTTTGGAGGGGAGGGGCAACTTACTGTCGGCTAGGATGAGAGAATGAGGTACGCCATATCTAGCATATACCCTTTAAGGCATTATATAGGGTACCTCAGGTACCCTATATCCCCCCTACATATACCCTTTAAGGGATTGTAGAGGGTACCTCATTCCCTCATGCCCTACAAACCAACAGTAAGGCAAAGCGACTGGCGAGGCCCTAAGGGTGCTTTGGTTTGGGGCTTAGAGGGTTTCTAGGATTAGAGGGTTTGGGGTCTTGTTTAGGGTTGAGGGTTTATAGGGTTGTAGGGTTCTAAAGGGCTATGGGTTGGTGTTGCGTCTAGGGTTCTAGGGTTTAGGAATGTGTTTCTATACCACCTTCCTTTCCGACGGAAGATGATCTCTATGTCAGCAAAAACAAAACAACGGTTCGTAAGGGTTGGGTACTGGTTCGGGCTATAGCGCTTACAGAGCTTACTGAACATGATGATTGGAGTTGAGAGGGGCTTGGGCTCAGGGAGAATAGGGTTCAGGGAACTGCTCCAAAAAACCGTGTTTACTCAGCCTATTTTAGGGCTATGGTGAACTGACTTTCTTGACTTGAAAAAAGATGCAGGGCCCGATGGCTTAAACTCACTAGGGGCCAATCTTCTGCATGCCTCAGGGTCATCATTACCCCGGTTTAGGGTTTAGGGTTTAGGGTTTAGGGTTTAGGGTTTAGGGTTTAGGGTCTGGCTCTTGGGCTGCCAGTCCGCCCACAAGGGTAGGTGTTGGCTAATTTGCCGTACGCCGTCCTCAGAAGTAGGCCTTGGCCTACATGAGGTGTGAATCTGCTACGACTCTCCGTACATCTCTCCACATCCTCTTGGAATGCTTTGGGGGTTCATGGGGTCCTTGTAAGTAGGGTTGCAAGTACCCTAAGTGAGGTTATAGCCATATTCATCCTACTTGCAACCCGACTTCTAAGTGCCCAAAGGAAAAGCTTACTGTTGGGCAATTAGTAGGGAATGAAGGAATGAGGTACCCTATATCCCCCTACATATAAAGGCCCTTTAAGGGATTATACAGGGTACCTCATTCCCTCATTCCCTACTAACCAGTAAGTAAGAAAGGCCTGCGAATATGAACCCCCCGACTCCCCGCAGGCAGTGGCGCCCATGCCCCGTGTCAATCCACACCCTCATGGCTCACCGCTGAACGTGTCAACTTGATGGGGCCCAAGTCTTCTCCCCCCCCAAAACCCTAAACCCTAAACCCTAAACTCTCAACCCTCAAACCTCACCCCTGAACCCTGAACCCTGAACCCTAAACCCTACACGAAGCCCTGGAAGTGCTTGGGTAAGAGTCGAAGTCACAGGCCTTGAGGATGTCGATGGCGCCTCGGCCCTCCTTGAAAAAGGCTTTAAGGTTTGCCGGAATTTTGGGGTTTAGGGTTTAGGGTTTCGGGTTTAGGGAATTTTGGGGTTCTGTGGGGTTCAGATGCAGATGGGGGCCCCTCCTGGCCTAAACCCTGAACCCCAGACTGGTGGAATTGAGATAGCGCTACGATACTCAGTGGCCTGCAGTGTAGCCAACACAAGCCCAGCACAAGCCCTCAATGCCAAAGCCCTGACTTAGCCTGACCCTACATCTAAACCCTAAACCCTAAACCCTAAACCCTATAAAGCCTAAAACACACACACACACACCCTAAAGTCTGGTAAGCATCCCAATTCGCTCGGTGCGGGGAGCTTGCTCGGTCGGTGCTTGGGGGAATTCCTGAATCAAAGGCAGCCCTTGGAAGACCTTCGCCCCTACAACCCCTACAAAGTTTAGGGTTTAGGGTTTAGGGTTTAGGGTTTCTTGGAGGTTCATGGGTACTTATAAGTAGGGCTTATAAGTAGGGCAACAATGGTTAAGAACCCTATTTCCCTAAGGGTCCATGTACCTAACTGGGGCATACTTGGATCCTAAAGTACCTTCGACATAGGGACTTTGGGCCCCCAGTCTATGACAATGAGGTACGTGGAATGTTCAGGGTTCAGGGTATCCCGAACAACCAAGTATGGCGCCTGGGACCCTAAACCCTAAACCCTAAACCCCAAACCCTAAACCCTAAACCCTAAACCTTAACATAGAACCCCCTTAAAAGACCAAGCGCTTGGATTCGGGCTTCAACAGCGGCCCAGTAGCCAGCAATTCGTCGAGGGTGACCAGCTCTTCTGTGAACTGCTGCAATGGGTCCGGGTCCTGCACCCTACATGCTAAACCCTAAGCCCCTAGCCCCTAATAAAATGAGTCCCAACTGAGACCATGTAACCTGTACTAGGAGAGGGGACCGGCTGCGTAAGCCCTCTATCAATCTTTAGAGGAAGTACATTTTCGTATGAATTCTTACCCAGCGATGGATAAGGGCCAAGGCTTCAATGACCCCCATACGACTCTCGCGGGCTCAAGCCGCTGAGGTTTTCTGCGGAAAACCGGCCATGAGTCAAGCTCCTCAGCCCGAGGGAGATGCCAGGTTATGATTGCACACAGACCCCATCCGAAGCCACAAAACCCCAAACCCTAAACCCTACCTGCCTAAACTGATACGCTGACGGGCGCACTGATTTTTGATTTTTTCGTGAGCAACAAGTGCTCTGCTTTCGCCGCGAAACTTGCCGCAACGTCTGCCCAGAAATGGCTCCGCTGGCGTGCTGCACTCACGTGCACATGGGCAAAGCTATTAGGCATTCATACCTAAAGCCTAGCACCCAAACCCAAAAACCTTAAACCCTAACCCATCAATGGACCCCAATTTTAGGAACCTACCAGCTGCAGCTAGCGGCCCCTTTCGAAGCTACCCCTTCTGCATCCTCCTTGGGCCAGACATCACCCCCCTACATCCGACCACCTTGGTACATGAACGGTCTCAACGGTGCTAAAACTTACCTAGTCCCCTTCAAAATGCCCGACATACTCCCAGTGTCCCGGTAAGGTACTCTTAGGCCCTTCAGGGGTACTTGGGTGCGCAGGTTTTCCCGTTCATGCCTTGTACATGTATATCCATATTTCTATCTACACATACATACATATATATATATATATATATATATGTGCATTGTATACATGCATCAATCACTGTCACACACACACACACACACACACACACACACATATATATATATATATATATATATATATGTAGGCATACCGTACAGATGCACACAGTACATCCCCACATATCTCTGAGCACGCTTCGCGGAGCCTGGGCTTTGATGCCCACCTTTGTCGGTGTTCAAAAAGCCTTCGTGAGGTCTCAAGTCTGGGTCTACAACAAAGCAGCGTAGAGGCTTAGAAGGGTTTAGGGTTTAGGGTTGAGAGTGTAGGGTATAGTTGTCTTTTGTGTTTCTTGGGGGGTTGGGGGTGGGAGCGAGAATCACGGGCTCGCTGGCATCCTGGATTCCTCAGCCCTCAAATGGTCGGCCAGCACGAGCACGCTCACCAGTAGAGCGTGTCCGGGAAGAAGCGCTGGATCTCGATCAGGCCACCAACCTGTGATACCCCTGTGCCAGCCGACAAAGCCCGCAAACTCCCAATAAGCCGAAGCAGCTCAAGCAAGACACAGGTGTCGATGCTGAGTAGGGCCCGTTTTGGGCCTCTACAAATGTCAATCCCCTAGTCGAAACTATAGGGTACCACGAACCAATATTGAGGTCACTGGAACTTCCTACCGGCCTTCTGAGTCTTTCAGGCTCCTGAGGGCCCTGCTGCGATACAGCGGTTTCTTCGGTTTGGGGTTCAGGGTTTAGGGGTTTATAGGGTTTATGGCCCTAAACCCTAAACCCTTAGCCCTGAACCCTAGACCCTCGAGGGTTTAGGGTAGGCAAGTAGGTAATGGCAAACACTGTCGGATGCCGGCATGTATGGCCTCAAGAACCCAAAGCCTGCATTTTTGCTGTAAGCCACCTGAAAAGCCCTTGGCTTGTTTCACACGACGAGCCTACAACAAAGTAGGTTTTGGGTTGTTTAAGGTATATGCCCTAAATGCTAAACCCTACACCCTAAACATGGACCCTTAGTTGGGGCAAGCCCTTCGCACAAAGCAGTCCCCGGAAGCAGCAAAAAAAACACCTGGTTGCGGTATACCTTAAGAACCAAAAGCCTACTTTTTTGTAGGTTGCCTAAGAATCCTTTAAGGGGTTTATGGTAAGAGCCTACAAAAAAGTAGGCTTGGGGTTCTTAGGGTACGGGTACACATTAAATAGACAGCGGCAGATGGATCGAAGTTGTGGTTCCTGTGTTGCGCCGATACCCATCCCCCCCCCCCCCCATCCCCACACCCCGGGTAGTTGAGCTACAGTACCCAGACGTGAGGCCTGGAACCTGGAAATCCTCCAGGAAGAGAAGCAGACATGAAGAACTCTTTGGGACGTTCCCAGTTATACTAACAGTCCTTAATCGCCATCTTAAAAGGGGTACGATAATCCCTACCTAGTAGCCCAGTAACCAAAGGGTAAAGGGCAGCACCACTGGGCTACCAAGCCTACCAAGGACTGTTTGTATAAGGGGGAACATCCCAAAGAGTTGTGTTCAACGGCGTTGTGTGTTGGAGCCTTCAGCATGATAATGCAGAGACGGCCCCACGAGCTGGTTGACTTTGTAACTCCTTTAACAGTCGCTTGGGGTTTAGGGTTAGGGTTAGGGTTTGGGGTTTGGGGTTTGGGGTTTAGGGTTGAGGGCTTAGGGTTGTTCAACGTGCCGCCGGGCAGCTGTGAAGAGGATAATGATGGAGAAGAAGTTCACCTTGCAAAGTTTGAGAGGCTTCAGGCACGCAAGCGTGGAAGACAGAACGTGCGGCCCCCAAAGCAGTTCATAAAAAAACCGTTTGCGGGCCAGAGCATCTAGATCCCCAGACCCCTGGGAGGATTCAAAAAGTATAACCCCACATAATACACTATACTACCACTAGGTCATTCTTAGGGAACCCTCAAGGGGACCTACTTTTTGGATCCTCCGAGGGGCCTGGGACTTGAATACAGTGACATGGTCGCTCGTTGCTGTAGCTCTTTTCCTATGACTGCCCCCTCCCCCCCCCTCCCCCCCCCCAAAGAAAAAAACAAAAAGCTCGTAATCTCAATACGGGGATGCCAATAATGACATCCTCTTGCACCCAAGAAGGTAACATAACCCAAGAACGCAACATGCACCATGCAAGGTCCAAAGTCTGCCAGAGGGCTTGGCCCGGAGGTCGTGTGAGGGGTTTTGAAACCCTACGCTAAACATCACACCCTACCCTGGAATCTAGAAATCGCCCAGAGCTCCCTAAACCCTAAACCCTAAACCCTAAACCCTAAACCCTAAACCCTAAACCCTAAACCCTAAACCCTAAACCCTAAACCCCCCCGAAAGAACCCAGGGCTTCTGGGGGCCGAGGTGCGTTGAGGGAGAGCCAAGCCTTGATGTCCTGAAAGGTTTAGGGTTTAGGGTTTAGGGTTTAGGGTTTAGGGTTTAGGGTTTAGGGTTTGGGGTTTGGGGTTTAGGGCTTTCACAAGGTTTGAGGGTTTAGGGATTTTGGGTTTTGGGGGTTTAGGGTTTTAGGGTTTTCGGGTGTTCACAAGAGTTTAGGACTTTTGGGTTTCAGGTTTCCGGGTCTAATTCGTCCTCCGACTCCACAACCGGCGTGATGTAGGAGACCTGCAAGGACGGGGGATGGATCGCCCCTCTTTGTGTGTTCCGAGATCCCGAGATCGCATAGCCCAAGAATTCAGGTTTAGGGAGCATGGTTTAGGTTTCTTACCCCCCCCCCAAAAAAAAAAAAACAAAACAAAAAAGTGGCCTCCTATAACCCCCCAGAAGGCCCAAACAGACCCTGATAGAAGTGCCGCAAACGAGAAGTGTTGCTCCGTGCTTCTGTTGAATCAGGAGGTCGAAGACGACCTGCAATACTACTTGGAGGTTCATGGTACTTATTAACCAATTGTAACTGTACTTATGACCCACTTTATAAGCCTTGCAGTGCCCTAGTATGGCTATAAGTACAGATATAAGTACAGTTACGATTGGTTAAGAAGTGCCATGAACCTCCAAGGACCCACCCCCCTAAGGCCCCAAACAAGGCTAACTCAAAAAAACATATTCTTACTTATAAGGGTACTTAATACAGGGATTACTATGACGTTTTCTTACTTATAAGGGTACTTAATACAGGGATTACTATGATTTTTCTGAGGGGGGGGGGTGCTTAAGTAAATAGTAATCTGTCGTGGCCGGACCTGGTTGCTGGCGCCGGTGCTAAGCTGGTACTCCGGAATGTCCCAGTCGTTCGTCTTGACAACCTCAGGCCACAGAGGCTTTGCGGGATCCGGGCCGCCTCAAGTCTTGAAGGGGTTTAGGGTTGAGTTTAGGGTTTAGGGTTTAGGGCTTCGGGCTTCGGGTTTAGGGTTGTTAGGATCAGGATGTTCAAGATGCTAATTGAATCCCTTTTGAGGCTGCCAGCGGGCTTCGGCACAGAACGGCCCACGTCATTGGAGACCCCTTAGAAGCTTCCTAAACCCTAAACCCTAAAGCCCTCCAAAAATCGATGTTGCGCACAACTTGGAGGGCGCTCACAGGGTTACAAAGAGCTTTCAAGGCCCAGACCCCCTTACCACCTGAAAGCCTCAGATGCCCACAGCCTGTACTTGGTTTAGGGTTTAGGGTTGAGGGTTTACTTCTTTCCGTGCGGTCCTTCACACCGATTGAAGCCCTGCGTCCAACATGCACCAAGCCGCGATGCGCGGTGGGTTGTTGTTCTTGTCCCGGCTGGTGATCTTACCGGCTTCCTCCGACTGAAACCAACCAGCTCAAAACCCGAAGCCGTGTAAATAGAAATCTGTTTTACGTATACCTGTGTATGCAAAGAATAAGAACATGTAATATGTAGATTTGTGATCTCTTATCATGTTATCCCCGAGACAGTGTGCCTTATACTTGTTATTCCTCAACGTGGGGACAGGGTTGATGGCTTTCAACCGCAAGCTCAACCTCTTAGCGGCCCAGAAACCTAGGACACTTTGGCGCCCTTATCGAAGAGAAATGCAACATGCGGTATGTTAAAAATCCCAATCTCATACCCCTTAACCTCTACAAGGAGAATGTAAGGAATAATTTTGCCATGCCCCCCTGATTTTTGTTTAAGGGTATGCCCAAGGGTATGTTGAATGTTTCTTAGAGTTTGCTTCATTCACCTAACCCTGAACAAAAGGGACTAAGCGATAAGACAAGGCATCCAAGCCCTAGAGCCCCTAAAACCCAAGACCCTACACCTTTAAGCCCTGTTCTACCCGAAGCCCTACAAGCCCTTCGGAAAACCCGAAGCCCTGAACCCTAAGCCCTGCACCTGGATTCCTGAAGGAGAGATATTCGAGAAGGACCCCAAACTCCAGAGCCCTGGGCCTCCAAAACCCACAACGCATCTCCGTCCTCTGGCTTGATGATGAGCCCCCCACCCTAAACCCTAAACCCTAAACCCTAAACCCTAAACCCTAAACCCTAAACCCTAAACCCTAAACCCTAAACCCTAAACCCTAAACCCTAAACCGGAAAGAAATCTCCGTCCTCTGGCTTGATGATGAGCCCCTCCTTTCATGCGAAAGAGGGCGGCAATGTTCAGCTCCCGCTATGTTTATAAGATTGATAACCCTAAGGGTCCATGTACCTATATGGTATATACTTGGCCCCTAAAGCTGCTCTATGGCAGCCCCTTTTAAGGCCCAAGTATATACTATATGGGTACATGGACCCTTAGGGTAAGGGGTTGCATTCAAGGGGTGTTGGGCTTGGCCAGCTTCAGGGTTTTGGGGTTTTTGAGGTTTTTTTTTGGTTTTGGGGTTTGGGGGTTTAGGGTGTAGGGTGCTGATGAACAGGGAGATGGAGATGGAGATGAAGATGCTGATGATGATGATGATGAGGATGATGATAGGACATGGCAGGAGCCCTAAACCCTAAACCCTAAACCCTAAACCCTAAACCCTAAACCCTAAACCCTAAACCCTAAACCCTAAAGGAGTGGAAGTTGTGGCCTGGCCTCCGTCTCGGCTTGCATGGCCACGCCCGTGCGGAGGCTGCCAGACGACACGTTCGCGAAGAGCAGGCAGCCGGCCTTACGCAAATAAGGGGCCTTAATCATTAGAATAGGGGTTAAAGTAGATGGTCAGTTTTCTCAAAATTATGGTCCTTGTTGGTTACCCTAGATACGAGGCGCCGCCTTATGATGGGAGGACAAATTTTAGAGGAGTGGCCATATACGGCCCATACGGGAATGCTAGTAGTAATTGTTCCGACCCCCACATTCAACAAGCAGCATACGTAATCGGAATGGGTCTTCTGTTTGCAGCAGAATGAGTCAAGGGGGCGAAATATTCACAGCTACAAGCCCTCAGCCCTCAGCCCCATCCCTCCATGGCTAGATCACCCCTAATTACGGAGAATTCGAGCAGGGGGCTTGCAGTGTCAAGGTTTTTTTGGGAAGGTCTCAGGGTTTCCGATCTCCGCTGCTTCTTGAAAGTCCCCTTTCTTGTGCTTCCGAAGCTGGCGTCGTGCGGGACCGCGGATTTTTTTGCCGGCTGTCGCCAAAAGAACGCGCGTTCGGGGACTGAGGCGGCGGCATGTCCCAAGATCATGGCGAGGCAGGAGGCCACGACCTTGTAATGAAATGCTGAGTTAGGGTGTGTGTGTGTGTGTGTGTGTGTGTGGGTGTGTGTGTGTGTGTGTGTGTGTGTGTGTGTGTGTGTGTGTGTGTGTGTGTGTGTGTGTGTGTGTGTGTGTGTGTGTGTGTGTGTGTGTGTGTGTGTGTGTGTGTGTGTGTGTGTGTGTGTGTGTGTGTGTGTGTGTGTGTGTGTGTGTGTGTGTGTGTGTGTGTGTGTGTGTGTGTGTGTGTGTGTGTGTGTGTGTGTGTGTGTGTGTGTGTGTGTGTGTGGGGGGGGCTTGTCCGTCTTGTCAAGGGATTATAAGACTTGTACGCCGACGGTTGTACCCCTTAAGGTTTCCCTTGATATACCCCCCACTATGGCCCTTATACTACCTTCGAGGATCTTGAACAAGGGTCTCAAACCCTCGGGTACCACTTTAGGGGTCCGAGGTAGAGTTCCTTGATCTTAGTCAGCACAAACCCTACAACTTGAACCCGAACTCTAGTCCATGGTAAGTCGGGACTGGAATAGCGAAGCACATTCGAAAAAAAAACAAAAAAACACAAATGAATCGCAGTGAATCCGTATCTTGGGGGTTTGAGATAACTCAAGAGGCCTTGTTAAAGTGAGATCCGAAAGCTTACTTGTTCTGGGATGAAGCTCGAAACAACACTTAGAGACGTTTCTTACAGCTGACCCAGTTTGGGGGCTCTGGAGGAAGAGATGAGCTCCCCTCCACCAGACCTTTTTTGAAACTGGACTTGTTGCTCCACCAACCCGAAACCCTAAACCCTAAACCCTGAACCCAAAACCCTAAGGATCCAGAGCCAGGATTTAGGGCTTAGGGTTGTGGAAGGTTTAGAGGACGCGGGCGTTTGAAAGGATTCGGTACAGAAGCACCCTAAGAACAGACCACTTGTGTGTTTTGGAGGTCGTTTCGCAACAAAATGGTTAGGGGGTTCGGGGTGTTTAGGGTTTAGGATTTATAGGCTTGGGGATCACAGTATACATTTGCAAATTGCCTTAGGCACCTGCTATTGCATCCTTGACAAATTTCTGCGCATCTGCCGCATCAACCCTCCTGGAGAAGATGGGGCCATCTGCACTTCGTAGGAATATATATATATATATATTATATATATATACATATACATATCTAAAATGAGTACATATAGATATAGATATTGATACAGATACAGATATAGATATGTATATATATATATATATATATGCACATACACCACAATAGGTTACACAACAACGGGGCGATCATTTTGCTCAACCCTTCCCCCTCCCCCTCCCCCCCCACCCACCCACCCGAACCCGCATCTAATGCAGCTTCGGCCACCAGTGCAGGAAGAGCAGTTCGACGGGCCATCGTGGCGTGTTGGTTGAAGGCGGGGGTGAAGGGGGGTAGACTTGAGCCACAGATCTGAACGAGAACCAGGCTCGGGGTGTTCAGGGTTTAGGGCTTAGGGTTGGGATGTTCCCCCTTATACGAACAGTCCTTAAGAGGGATTATCTTACCCCCTGTTAGAATCCGGGGGAACATCCCAAGTTGAGTGTTTAGGATTCAGGGTGAATCAGGGATTGCATGGAGAATATCGAGTTAGGGATCGGGGAGGGCATGCGGAAAGCGTCTGGTGTGCTTGCGCTTACAGGACCTACCAGCCATCTGATATGTAAGAAGCCAGCAATAGCCCCAAACGGCAAAACCGCGTGGACTGAGCGGTTAGTGGTTCAAAGGCTTTGCGGCGAGCTAAGTTGTCTGCCCTAACACGTACCAATTCGAAACCCTAAACCTTGCTAAGCACCGATGCCTAAACCCTAAACCCTAAACCCTCCAAAAAGCCCTGAGGGTGTGCTCCTGAAGCTGACCCGTATCCGGGTCCCTCAGCATGTACTCCTCGTGTGATGGCGGAGGCCTGCGGGAGATGCCAGATTGGGGATTTCCCCCTTTTTTGAGGGCTTAGTTTAGGGTTTAGGGTTTAGGGTTTAGGGTTTAGGGTTTAGGGTTTAGGGTTTAGGGTTTAGGGTTTAGGGTTTAGGGTTTAGGGCCCATGCTGGTAAAGCCATGAACCCAGGACACACCTAAAACCCTCTGCCCCTTGGTCAGCCCAGTCACCATACTATAGTAAGGGCACCCCTTTTTCGGGTTGGTGACTTTGGCAGGGCACCTTGCACCAACAAAAGGCAAAAGGGCACCACTGACTGATCCACCAAGACCCTACTTTGAAGTACCCTACTAAACCTTCCAGGATTCCAGTAACCCTAAACCCTAGCCCTAAACCCTAAACCCTAAACCCTAAACCCTAAACCCTAAACAATAAACCCTAAACCCTAAACCCTAAACCCTAAACCCTAAACCCTACTTCGAAGTACCCTAGAAAAACCAAAAAAAAAAACCTTCAAAGAAAGCTCCGAGAGCCGTGGCCTCGTCGCACCCGGCACCTCGATCGACAGCGCGCCGCCAGCTCCAGAGAAGCGGGCCTCTCTGGTTCCCCCTTTTTTGGGGGGCTTTTTGGGGGGTTTAGGGTTTAGGGTTTAGGGCTAGGGTTTAGGGTTTAGGGTTTAGGGTTTAGGGTTTAGGGTTTAGGGTTTAGGGTTTAGGGTTTAGGGTTTAGGGTTTAGGGTTTAGGCGGTTTAGGGTTAACGGTTTAAGGGTTTAGGGTTCAGGGGGTTTAGGGCTTTAGGTTTCAGGGGCTTAGGGTTGCCCTGCCCTTTTCGAGCACGGACTGTGAGGCTTGCCACAACTTCCCTGAAGGAAGTTTCACCACGCGATGTCGCACAAAACACCTATTCACCCAAGTCACGATGAGTAAGTAAAGCCTATAAACCTCAAGCCCTTTCCCTACCTAACCCTACACCCTGAAGCCTTTTGTTATACAATCCTCAACGCTGCTCACCCAAAATCCTCAACCCTAAACTTAAACCATAAGCTCGAAGACTGCAGTATTACAAGTGTTACAGTCATGTTTTTGGCATACATACATACACAGCTGTTTGTTGCGAACTACCCATTCCAAATTTTGGTTAAAGACATATACATCTTGCCGAAAACCTCCAGCCCTCCACACGGACTGCAACACCCTATGGCGCCCAGGGTGCCTCCCCAAATATGCCCTAGACCTGTCAGATGAGCCCACACCTGAGCGGCCCAAGCATCCTAGGTCACTCAGCAAGATTTCCACAAAACTACCATACTTTAACGCTTTTTTCTTGGTTCTGGGTTCCCGTTCTCGCTACTTATACCTGAAGCGTATAGACTTTTTTGGGGGGTCTACTCTAAAGTAGGGTCAAAACCCCAGGAAAGCCGACTTGGTGGACAGGTGGCCGTGCCCCGCTGTGCCCCGATGGCATGCCTCAAGGAGGACGGCTGGGGAGGTGTTCTTTGGGTTTTAGGGTTTAGGGTTTCGGGTTTAGGGCAATTTCGCTTCAGTAGCCTTTTTTGGAGAGCAGTATGAGATCAAATAAGGTTCCATGTTAACGGTCTACTCAACGGGGCCGGGGACAAGAAGCGGATTGAAAGTTTTCCAGGATATTGTGTGGCAGGACTCGGGGTCTCGGCCTTCGGAGAAAGAGGGGAAGAGAGAGAGAGAGAGAGAGAGGGTTTAGGGTTTAGGGTTTAGGGTTTAGGGTTTAGGGTTTAGGGTTTAGGGTTTAGGGTTTAGGGTTTAGGGTTTAGGGTTTAGGGTTTAGGGTTTAGGGTTTAGGGTTTAGGGTTTAGGGTTTAGGGTTGCTCGATCTTCCCTCCTTAAGGCTCCAAGATCCCTGGAGAGGGGCCAGTGCCTCCTTAGGTCCCAAGGAGGGTTCTGGGTTTTAATTCCTGGGTCTTGACCCTGCTTTGGAGTAGACCCTGGCAAAAAAGTATATACTTCTTAGGTATAAGTAGCGATACTGGGAACCGAACCAAAAAAGTATTAAACTCTAAACCCTAAACCCTAAACCCTCGTCTTGCACGAGCCTGCCCAGGTGTAAGATCTGGGGGGTTTTCGACAATAGGGGTACCCTTTTTTGGGGGTCCCTTTTAAAAGGGAATCTCGTCCATATTGCACAATAAACGGGGAATTGTGGCGGGTCCCTTTTAAAGGGAATCTGGTCTATGTTGCATGTAAAAGGGGTACCCCTATTTTGAGAAATACCCATACTAGGATGGCCCTGAAAACCCTCTGAAAGAATGCTCCTGACGAGGGTCCTCTGAAAATCCAACAAGGGAAAATATCGGAAATGCCCCCAAGAGCCTACCTAGGATACGTGACTGACCCTAACCCTAAACTAAACCCTAAACCCTAAACCCTAAACACTAAACCCTAAACCCTGAACCCTGAACCCTATTCCCTAAACCCTAAACCCTAAACCCTAACCCTCAACCTTCGTGCCAGGTTGCTGTCGAAGCTCCACCGCGGCCACGCAGCTTAATGGCAACACATTCCTTGGTTTAGGGTTTAGGGTTTAGGGTTTAGGGTTTAGGGTTTAGGGTTGAGGGTTGAGGGTTGAGGGTTTGGGGTTTGGGGTTTGGGTTGTATGGTTTTGGGTTTTAGGTTTGCCAAGGAACCGGTTCGCCCGTAAACCAAACGCCTGCCTCCTTGGGGGCCTTGAAAGCGTTTAGGGTTTAGAGCTTAGGGTTTAGGGTTTAGCCTAAACCCTCTTGATTCACACTCTGTCGCTAGTGACCATCTGTTACACAGCAAGTTGATACCTAAGTATGTTACTTTTGTGACTGCAACATGCATATGGATGTCAGATGGTGTCTGTACAGGTGTCAGATACTATTCAGCACCCCTAAACCCTAAACCCTATAGGGTTTAGGCGGTTTAGGTGTGAACCTTGAAAGGGCTTATTTTGTTCTCTAAACCCTCCAAAGGTCCAAAGAGGGAACCGCGGGCAACTGCTTCCTAGACGCTCCAGCGCCGACAGCGTCTCCGCCGCGTTGAAGAAGCTCGCCTTCCCAAAGGGCTTTAGGGGTTTTGGGGGTTTAGGGTTTAGGGGTTTAGGGGTTTAGGGTTTTAGGGGTTTAGGGGTCTAGGGTTTTTGTGGTTTTAGGGGTTTAGGGTTTAGGGGTTTTAGGAGTTTAGGGTTTTAGGGGCTTAGGTTAGGATGTCCCCCCTGAGACTGACAGTTGCAAGGCCAAAGGGCTTTTAGGGGGTTTAATAGGGCTTTTAGGGGTTTTATAGGGGTTAAATAGGGGTTTAATGGGGCTTTTAGGGGTTTTAGGGGATTAACAGGGGTTTAATCGGGATTGCAAAAGGGGACACATGCCAAGGCTTGGCGCTTCAGCCTCCAGCGCCAGAACGCCGTCCAACTCGCAGCCAAAGGTTTGCAAGAAGGCGGCCCTCTGCCAGATTAGGGTTTAGGGTTTAGGGTTTAGGGTTTAGGGTTTAGGGTTTAGGGTTTAGGGTTTAGGGTTTAGGGTTTAGGGGTTTAGGAGCTAGTCTTCAGAGAGAGGAGGGAAAGGCAGTGGAGAATTCAGGATTGCGTGCGCACCTGTGGATCCTAGAAACCACTCTTCTCGGGGTGGCTTTTAGCCTCCGGGACCAGGGATTGGCCCTAAAGGCTTGTCATAAGGTGAGGGGATGGACGATAATCTTCATGGGGTTATAGATGTACAGGCATATATATATATAAATAATATATATATATATATATATACATATATATATATGTATATGGTTGAGGGTTCTAGGTTTGTGTCTTTATAGGGTTTTCTGTCGGGTTGATAGCTATGCATGGTTGCGTAGGGCTTGAACATGGCCTAGTCTTGGCGGGTACCCAGGTTGTATGGTTGGTGAGCAGAAAACATTCACAAAAAGTCCACCCAGAGAACTACACTTGGGGCGAGGCCGAGTTGCCTAGAGCCAAGAGTAGCCGCCTAGGAATCCAAAAGGGTGCCCTTTCCGGGGCTTTTAATTTTAAGGGAGCCGAAACCCCAAAAAGGGAAAACGGGAATGAGGGAACGTCTCACTTGGCCCAGTCTCCTGGTCTCCTAGCGAACTAGAACGGGGGGGCGTTTCGCGCAGTTTGTTTGGGACTCTGTGCAGATTCGAAAGGGGTGCTGCCAGCCAAACCGAATTCCATGTTGGTTCCTGCGAAGTCACGCTACTCCCCGCGACAAAGCATGTTGGAACTTAATTCAAGTCTGTAATGTGTCAAGCAACCCCGACCCCCCCCCCCCACTGCCCCCCAAAAAAACACGTGCGCATAATTATGCGTACATATATATATATATATGTATATATACGTAATGAATGCATTACCTGCAAGACCTTCTTGTCTTCAGGGCTCCAAAACCCCGAACCCTCCAACTTGTCGCTCCAAGCAGCGTGAAGCACTCTGCGACCTCCGCCTGCATACACTTCCTTCCCCCTAAACCAGCCTAAACCTAAACCTTAAACCCATGGCTGGAGGTTACCCTAAACCCTAAACCCTAAACCCTAAACCCTAAACCCTAAATCCTAGACCCTAGACCCTAGACCCTAGACCCTAAACCTTAAACCTAAACCTAAACCTAAACCCATGGCTGGAGGTTAGGGCTTCAGGTTTGGGGAGTTGGTCGGGCTGCTTCCATCTCTCTGTGTCTGTCTCTTGCTTTCTGTGTGTTTGGCACGCGCGCGTCTGTCTCTCTCTCTCTCTTTCCCATACTGTCTCTCTCTCTCTCTCTCCCATACCCGGGCCAAAGCCGCTGCTAAGCCCAAGATTAAGTGCTGAATGGGGTTATTGAGGGGACCGAACCCAGCACAAACGAAGTAAGGGCCTACTCTTGGTCTTTGGCTGTTCGGGTTGAGGCTTCTTTAGATGGGGTTGAAGAGTCTGTTGGGGTGAGTTTCTCGGGTAAAAGGCCGTGGATTCCAGGAACTCAAGACTTGCTTTCTTGTTTGGGGGTGGGGGTGAGTTCGGTTTTCGGGCTTTAGGCTCAGTAACCCTAAACCCTAAACCCTGAACCCTATATAAACCCTACATGCAGTACCCCTTTGTGTCACAGGGTTGGTTCCTGCGCCTCGGCCGCACGTTCTGGGCAATAAGCGCCTCAGGACGCAATGGCCCGATATTGCCCTAAGACATCCTGTACTGATGCTAGCCGAACCCTCTAACGCTTCCCTATCAACTCCATAGGGTTAGGGTTAGGGTTTAGGGTTTAGGGTTTAGGGATTAGGGATTAGGGTTTAGGGTTTAGGGTTTAGGGTTTAGGGTTTAGGGTTTCTAACACCCTATAACGCCGTGTAAGCCCCATACAGCCCATACCAGTACCTCCCGAAGCAAGCCCGCGCTTAAGCTGTAGTTGAGGTGAAGGGCCTGTCGAAGTTAAGGAAAAACTGAATTTGGGTGGTCCCATATCAATACAAACTACAGAGCCAAATAACATGTTTAACTGATCTTCAACATCTATAGGTTAAGGCCATGGGTTTCAGAGGGCTTCCCCCATGCTCTGTTGACAAAGCTGTCGCTGTGCAGGCATAGACTTCCTGGGTGTGAGGATGCGTTTAGGGTTTAGGGTTTAGGGTTGGTCTTACAGGGTTGTTGATGGAGGGTACAGCAATGCCAGCAGGCAGCCCACGTCCACGGTAAGCGACTTCGGCGCATATCCTGGGCGACATGGGATTGCAAGTTCTTGGTTCTTGACCTAAACCCTAAACCCTAAACCCTAAACCCTAAACCCTAAACCCTAAACCCCACGCAGCCTGGGAGTGCTTCTCCTAAGGAGAATTGAGGGTGCCAAACCTTGAGCCAACCCCGGCCATCTTGGCCATGTCGATGTGGCAGCGACGGGTGGGGTTTGCGGCTTGTGAGGTTTAGGGTTGTTTTTGCCACAAGCAATGGGCAAGCCACCGGGGCATTGAGGAGTTTAGGCTTTAGGGTGTAGGGTTTAGGGTTAAACCCCAGACCCTAACCCCTAATCTAAACCCCTAAGCCCTAAACCCTTTTTCACAAGGGACTCGACTGCTGCCTAAGCCCTAAACCCTAAACCCCTAAACTAACCCTAAACCATAAACCCCTACTCCCTAAACCCTAAACCCTAAACCCCTAAACCCCTAAACCCTAAACCCCTAAACCCTAAACCCCTAAACCCTAAACCCTAAACCCTAAACCCTAAACCCTAAACCCTAAACCCTAAACCCTAAACCCTAAACCCACCCTCTAAGGAGCCGAAGCTGCCAGCGCCTCGCAGCGACCGCAGGAAACGCTCGAGTCGACCCTGGCGCTGGGCACGCCCAAAGCTTACCAGGATGGGTTTAGGGTTTAGGGTTTAGGGTTTAGGGTTTAGGGTTTAGGGTTTAGGGTTTAGGGTTTAGGGTTTAGGGCTGAGGGTTTAGGGTTTAGGGTTTAGGGTAAATTAGGCCCTGGAATCCCCTTGACACCCACCCATCATGCAGGTGGATGTGCTGCACTCGTGCGCGTAGAAGCTACCTCGAAGCCCAAGCGCATGTCACTTTCCATGTGCACTTGCCCAAAGGATCCATGTACCAATATAGTATATACTTGGGCCCTAAAGCTACTATATAGGAACTCCTTTAAGGCCCAAGTATATACTATGTAGGTACATGGATCCTTTGGGTTGAAACCTTTCAGATTACCCTGCGTTGACGGCTGGCGAGTTTTGTCCAGCGTAGCATGGGAGCATGTCCTCGGACTCTTCAACCTATATGCTCATTAGTAGTAAAGGGAATTGGGTGCCCCATATAACCCCCTCGTTCCTCCTTAAAAGGGTTCTGTCTGGGGTACCGAAGAATATGAGCCATTTGCTGGTATCAAAGTCTGGTCTCTGAATCAGCCTACAGCTTTGACTGGAGCTTGCTCTGCCTTCCTCTTACTTCTCCAATAACCAAGGGGAAAAAAGGTTAAACTTTAATATTCCTACTAAAAAAAGAAACCCAAAAAGTTTAAAGTTCAGCTAAAGGCGAAGTAAGTCCTTCATCCTGCAAAGCCGCAGGGTGTTTCACGCGCACTGCCCGCTTGAAGCCTTTGCAGCTCTTTGTGCATTGAGCCAAAGATCAAGGCCAAAACCTGGGCGACGGGAGAAGCTCCGCTAGTCAGATCAAGATCTTGTTCAAGGACTTGCGTCCGAAGGCGCGATTCGGACCACTGACGGCTCCACAAGCCCCAGAGCACGGAAAACCTGCGCGGCACTTGCTCCACCCATTGTCTGAACTCGGGGGCCAGCTGAAACTCTGCCTCAGCGTATGCAAATGCCACATGCTTGGCGCCGTGAATCTCTTCACTTGCGAAGAACAGAACTCGAACCGCACCTCCTGCACCCTTCTGGAATTCGAAATGAACCAATGGAATGCGTGTGCTGTAACTGGTTGCTCCTTCTGTTCTGGTGGCATGCTTTTGGATTTCGTCCTGGGCCGCCTCAGGCTTCCCGTCGCACACAGACCGCCAAAATGCTTTGAGTTCTTCGTGATTCAAAGGCAGCTGTGCCGAAAAAATGTCCGGGGTATTCATCTTAAAGTCTGAGAACCCCTTGCCACCGGACGAGCTGGGCGTGCTGATCGCGAAGGCCTTCTGAAGTTGAAGTTCGGCCTCTTTCTTTGCGGCTCCAGGGCGGAAAACGAACGCTTGTATGGCCAATACAAGTCTTCTCCACAGGCCTTTAGCCGGAATGCTTGCAAAAGCCTGGGACACTTTGCTGGCTACGCCTGGCATGGCTCCGGTCGCTGGCTTTCCCAATCGCACAGCTGCAGCTTTGCTACAGAGAAACCAGCCCTGTGTGAGCCGAGAGCTTCAGCATCAGTGCTGGCAGAAGATGCTTTCTGGCGGACCTTCTGTTGGCTGACAGTTTGCAGAGGGTCTCTACACCAACCATTCGCCACAGGATATCCGAGCTTGCGCCATCAACTCTAAACACGAACAGCCGAAACCCCACAGTAGCCGACAACCCTCGTCTCAACCCGGATCTCTCGGATGTGCCAGGAGCAGCAGACCATGCAGAGGCAAACCAAAAGCCCAAACCCAAAACAAAAACTAAGCCAAAAAAGGCTTTGGCCCCTAAAGCCCTCTGACTCCTGAATATGGTCCTCTTGAACCCAATAAGGCAAAAATATGAAAAGTCCCAAGGGCCTACCGAGTACCCCTAAGTCTCCATGCACCTATGTAGTATGCACCCCGAAACCCGGGAAACCCCCAAACTAAACCCCTAACAAACCCCTAAACCCTTAAACTCCTAAACCCTATATAAAAACCCGAAACCCTAAACTTCTAAACTTTCAACCCTGGGCCTCCGGCTCACAGAACTCCTAAACCTTCTACCTTATAAACCCTAAACCCTAAACCCTAAAACAGGGTTCGCCTGGGGCTCACAGAACTCCTCCCTGAGCCGGCTGATGACGAGTCGTGCCGTGGGTGGGGCGTGCATGGCTGCGAGCACGGTGCCTTAGAGGCTGCTGGTTTCAGAGGTTAGGGCTTAGGGTGCAGGATATCGGTACTTTGTTAATTAGGGTTTAGGGTTTAGGGTTTAGGGTTTAGGGTTACTTGAAGGTTCTTGGGTACTTCTAAGTAGGGTTTTTAGTACCCTAAAGCAGGCCAGATCCATAGCTGCCCTACATGTGACCCTACCTGAAAGCACCCAGGGAACTCCAAGCGGGCCTTTCAGGGTTTTGCGAGGTTATGGGGTTCATGAACCCAAAGGGTCTATGTCCCTAAATAGCAAGTACTTTTAAGGCCCAAGTAGTCCCGATTTAGGTACATGGACCCTTAGGGGAAGCTTTGTCGGGTAGGGCTTGCAAGCGGGTTCAGGGTTTAGGGTGATCGCCGCGCGCAACAACGAGCTGACAAAGCCTCTGCTAGCGCCGACATCCAACACACCAAGCCCCAAAATCCCGAAACTCAAGGGTTGCACCGCCTCCCCGAATTTTCCTGAACCCAAATTTTCGCTCATTATATGCATCTATTTCTGTTTGACTCGCTATGTATTCATGTGCATGTATACAAGTACACGCTTGTTTTGGTGTCGGCGGATCTTCGTACTGTCGAAACGCTAGCCAAGGTGAGCCGAACAACTTGCAGACGCGGAGGACAGGGCCCTGCTGCCGAAGAGGTGCTGCAGTCGCTGCGACCTTTTTTCCGGCGACAGCTTTTTGGTGCTACCTGGGGGTTTCCAAAATTGGGGGGGGGGGGGGGGGGGGGTACCTTATTTAGGTCCTTATGATATCGGAATCCTACTATTTGGCGGTCTATATTCAGGGGTCCCTTATTGTCGTAAATGAAGGGCTTAGGGTGCTTAACTCTGCTGTGAGGATTCAGTTGTAGAACTGCTAGGTTGCCCAGTAACCTAGGATGAAAAGGGTGCCCTTTTTTGCTTAAAGGGGTTTATAGGTGAACCTAGAGCCCCCAAAAAGGGAATAAAGGCACTACTGGGCATCCTAGCTTGTTACAGTGCATACTGGGGGCATTTCGTGGTACAAACATGGACATGTCGCCGCCAAGGTCAAGCTGATAGGGCTGCCAGGCGGGCTTTACGACTAAAGGCGCTTAAACCTAAACCCTATAAACCCTAAACCCTAAACCTTAAACCCTGAATGAAAAGCCAAGTTGCACAGCCTCTTCTGCTTCGTGAAGCGCACGCCAAAGCCTGTAGAACTGGGTGGGGTGGGGGAATTGGCTGAAGGCGTAGCAGCAGGAAGTCTTCATGTCGGGTAGATGAGTGCGCCCACAAACCCTAAACCCTATATGCCCTCAACCCGAGACCTATGTGGCAAAATCTGGGCTTTAAGGGCTTGAGGGCTTCGGGTGTTCGGGGAGGGGAAAAAATGCTCAGGACCCTCAACGTTCGAAAAAAAGGAGGTCGAAGCCACAAACTTCTCCACAGACTCTAAGCATCTCCTCTGGGGTGTATTCGGGTTTAGGGTTTAGGGTCTCAAACCCTAAACCCTCTTGACCATGAAGTTTATGGAAACTGACACACCAAACTTTGCAACAGGCTTGCAGACATCCGCGCCTTTGGTGGTCATCTCCTGACTTTTGTGTTTAGGGTTGAGGGCGTAGAGTTCTCAACCCGAAACCCAAAATCACACGTGGGTGGTTGTCAAAACTATCATCCCTTTTGGGGTACCCTAGATATTAGGTGCCGTGCTATCGTAGGGTTCAAAAAAAAAAGACCATCATTTTGACAACCACGTGACGATAGACCACAAACCTACGATGCCCAGCCGCTCTCTTTTTCTGCTGGCGGCGCTGCCTGTAAAATGCCTCCGACAACTCTGAAGCTTGAGCTGCGCCTATTCTGCGGGGGTTTAGGGTTGAGGAGTTCAGGGATTTTAGGGTTTAGGGTTTAGGGTACTTTTGTTCCAGTAGAGTAAAGGTTCAGAACGTGGAGCTTGCCTAACACTGCCCTCTAGACTGGCTTGCACTGGGTTTATAAACTGAGGGTTTAGGGTTTAGGGTGTAAACTGCCTAGTAGGTAAACCCTAGGTCTTGAACTGCGACTTGCACCCTTACTATGCTGAACCCTAAACCCTAAACCCTAAACCCTGAACCCTAAACCCTAAACCCTAAACCCTAGGTCTTGAACTGCGACATGCACCGGCGGCAAATGCACAGGTGCGCGTGCGGCTGCGCGGGGTCCCGGGTCGTCAGCCAGAGCGCGTCTGCCTCCATGGGCTTCTCGCGCAGCTTCCGGGATCCTGGCTACTTGGGGTTTAGGGTTTAGGGTTGGGGTTTAGGGTTTAGGGTTTAGGGCTAGGGTTTAGGGTTAGGCCTAAACCCTAAACCCTAAACCCTAAACCGTAAAGAGACCTTGAACACAGACCCACCCATGAGCCGGCTCCTTGCTCCGGTGTGCATCTGGCGAAAAATCGCAGATCAGCTGCTGAGCAAGGCTTCGGCCCCTTGGCCTTTCGACGGACGCGGCCCGCCGTTCTCTCATACTGCCTCAGAAGGGTGTGAGTTGGGATGTTCCCCCCCTTATACTAACAGGCCTTAATGGGGATTATTCTAGTACTCCCCAGGTGAATTCCTATGAAGGACTGTTAGTATACTTAAGGAGGGCTATAATACCCCCCCCCCCCCCCCACGATGGCTCCCATGAAGGACTGTCAGTATCCCTAAACCCTAAACCCTAAACCCTAAAGGGGGATTAGGGTTTAGGGTTTCAGGGCATCACCCGGGAGGTCCAGGAAGATGGCTCAGGGCAGAGGCAAGCCGTTCATGCTGTTAAAAGCTTTTTGATATCCCCCCCTTACACTAACAGTCCATAATAGGAATTATGTTTAGGGTTTAGGGTTTAGGGATAGTAGGGGCATTACCCTGTCGAAGCCAAAAATGCTTTCTGAAGCAGGCTGTAGGGTTCAAATCGTGCGATAGTGCGAGCCTTTGCCGGCACCCCTGCATACATGAAGTCCAAGCAGCTGGGTGATGGACGTTCTCCCTTCGGGCTCGAATCGGAGACCTGTAAACTGCTCCACCTGCAACGGTGTCAGGCAATTGGAAAGGTTCGAGCTCTGCTTTCTGTTGCTTTGCGTAGCTCGGGCGGTAGCTACAAAGCATAACCCCAACAAAAACGAAAAACTTGTTGTCACCTGTAGCCGCGACCTGGCAATGAAACAAACCTCCCTTTGGTTCTAAACCCTTCGTGCAAATTGACCGGCAGGGTCTACGAGAGCTCTAGTTGCAGTTCCTTCTGGGGGAGCATGATTGTAGGTAACAGGAGAACATCTGACAACTTGGTACCCGTAAAGAAGCTACAGTTCAAGATCAGGAAAAATCTGAAACGCAAGGGCACTATAAAGGGCGCAGTTACCAAGTTCGGTTGCGAGAGATTCATCTAAAGGTCGTAGAAGTACAAGAATGGGCTATTATACTCTACAAACCCCTAAAGGGCCTATAGGGTTTAGGGTTAGGGTTTACGGCTTAGGGCCCTTTATAGGGTTCATGATGGGGATTTTGAGGCCCAGCAGCCCATCCTGGTATGGGGAATCGAGTCTACGAACCGACAGCAGCGCCTGTAGAACGCCCCGTACTTCTGTGCCGAGGCATGTCAGTGCAAGGCCTATGTAAGTTGACACTTCTCGACGCACAAGTCATAGGGGGCACTATAAATCCTATCAAGGAGGCCCTAAATCCTAAACCCTAAACCCTAAACCCTAAACCCTAAGGGGGGAACATTCCGAGGTAAAGATTTCATCCCCCAACCTCCGCGGTGGAGATGCCAGCTCGCGCGGACAGGGCCTCTGCGGCAACCTGGACGTTGTGTTTAGGGTTTAGGGTTTAGGGTTTAGGGTTTAGGGACCTTATCTTTCGTTTGGGCCGTTGAGGGCTTTGTATTAAGGATTTTGGGGAGATTTGAGGGTTTTTCTGATTTCAGGGTTTTGGGGGTTTAGGGCTTTGAGGGTCTTTGGCTTGTTAGGGGCTTGGCTTAGTTTGGGGATTTTCACGGCCTTTAGCCAGTTGTTGCCTCCCGCCTAGCAAAGCCCTCCCTGGGACTCTCTTTACCTACGTTTTAGTTGGTTACACCCAGTAAGGGGGTAACCGGTAGTTGCTACTTACAGTGAATGTAAATAGAGTGCCAGGTATACCCTGAAACCCCCTGCAAGGCCACCCTAAACCCTAAACCCTAAACCCCGAAAACCCTAAAGCCCTAAACCCTAAGCCCTAAGCCCTAAACCCAAAATCCTAAATCCTAAACCCTACAGGTTTACGGCGCTCTGCAGGGCTTGGGCTTTTGCGGGCTCTTCCCCGGCTCAGGTCGGTGGAGGTGCACGCTGCGGCGAACTTCTATCTGCACATGACCCGATCGACAGCATCTTTGTGCATGTAGACCCTAAACCCTAAACCCTAAACCCGAAGCCCTAAACCCTAAACCCTAAACCCTTTTGGGAGTGCGCGGCCGAAGGCTTTGCATGGGTCTTAGAGGGTGGGGGAAAAGGATTCGGGCTCAAGCCCTAAACCCCCCAAGTGCCCCTAAACCCTATAAACCCTAGACCCTAAACCCTAAACCCTGAACCCTAAACCCTCTTTCTCAGGCTCTGAGCCCTTTGATGAGGGGCAAACATTTCAGGGCTCTGTATGCCGAATCCCCGTAAACCCTACATGACTATGGACCCCTAAAAGCCCTGCAAACCCTACATACCCTAAAAGCCCTGTCAACCCTACATACCCTAAAGACTGAAACCCTAAACCCTAAACCCTAAACCCTACACCCTAAACCCTAAACCCTAAACCCTAAACCCCCCTAAAGACTGAAACCCTAAAGAGCCTTGACATATCGCCGGTTGGCCTTCTCATCATCCTCCGTCGTCTCGTAGCTCGAAGGAGGGGCGCCCTCATCAGTTTAGATTCGTCCGGATTTGCTTGGAGGTTTTTTTTGGGAACTCACAAGTAGGGTAGAAAGCATGATGTTGTTGTCTTCTTTTAGGGTACTTATAGTTATATACCATGAGTACCCACCAACCTCCAAGTAAGGCTTTCGGGTGAACGCTTCTTGGCGGGGCCCCCGCAGCCGATGATCCGTGGCATCCTACCATCGCGCTCCCACCCCAGAGAGCCCTTCAACGCAAATTCGACCGTCAGAACTCCAGTACTAGGAGGTTCATGGGTACCTATAACCCCAATTATAAGTCTACTTGGCTGCACTCCGGAGGGTAGCTATAGATTAAATTCTTAGCTGCCGTATTAAGAAACCCAATAAACCCAAAAAGGCTAAGGATCTAAAGTTACAGTCAAGCATAACCTACTCGGATGACTTAGGGAAGTTACGGGGGCTCAGGAGTGTAGTTACAATTGGGGATATATAGTACCCTGAACCTCCAAGTAGAGGTCTCATAACCACAGCCGAAAACTCATTCGGGCGGGAAGGGGGGGGTGTGGGGGGTGGGGGTGGTGGGGGGGGGGGTGGGGTGGGGGGGGTGGGGGGGGGGGTGGGGGGGGGGTGGGGGGGGGTGGGGGGGGGTTCTTATCATGCCAGCCCCACACACTGAATGGAGGTTCGCCGCTAGCGCAATACAGCGGTTGTCAACACCCGAACACAGGTTGTTTCTGGATAACCATACCTTTACTCGCCCCCCCCCCACTGCACGTTCAACTCGCAAACCCTAAACCCTAACCCCTAAACCCTAAACCGAGAAACCGAAGCCTACCCAGACCTGTCCTTCTCTTTGGTCTTCGTGGCTGGCTTTGGCGCTTCCCAAGCATCACGTTGCGCATCGGGTGGCCTCCTGGCAAGCTTGAAACCGCTTCCCTAGGTTGGGCTGACGGTTTTTAACCCCCAAAACCCCGAACCCCTGCACTGTAAATCCTAAACTCTAAAACTTAGCTCTAAGGCGCAACGAGCAGCACACTGGGACGTGATCAACAATTGTGTCACGGGAGTCATACTCGGACCCCTAAAAGGATGCACCGTTCCTTGGTAGCCCAGTAACCATCTCATAATAAGGGCACCCTTTTTTGAGTTGGTTACTTTAATTTCTAAGGGAACCCATATTAACCAAAAAAAGAGAGTAAAGGGTACCACTGGGCTACTAAGTTTCAGAGGTTCCCTTAAAATATTCAGGGTTTAGGGATTAGGGTTTAGGGTTTAGGATCCCAGGACCTTTCGTTCCCGAAGGTTCTGAGGGTAGTTTCATGGGGTATGCGCGC